AGAAAGAAAGAAAGAAAGAAAGAAAGAAAGAAAGAAAGAAAGAAAGAGAAAAAAGAGAGAGAAAGAGAGAAAGAAAGAACACAGAAAAAAGAAAGAGAAAAGAAAAATAAAGAAAAGAAAAGAAGACAGAGAAATTCAACATGTGCCCATAAGGTTAGGCTGGGTTTCAGACTAGAGTTGGGTGAGATGTTTACCGTCTCTAGAAGGGAATCCTGGCCCTCCCTGGATTTGACCTGGTTCTGCAGATATAGTATAGCATCATGAACCGTAAGAAAGAATCTATCCTTTCTAATGTTGTCATCAAAGAATCCACACTGCTCCATCTTTTCTAGCACATCATCTGCAAAGGAAAAACAATGTTTAGTTGCTAGGGAGAAAAGGGATTTTTATAATAAGTTTTTGCAGTGCCTTTTCATTGTCTCCTCATTTCCAAACTGTGCCCCTGCTCTAACAGAGGTGTCCTTCTTTGCCAGCAGCACACAGAGTGGCTATCCCATAGTTGCTTGCAGTCTGTCTTGGTGACCCTTTTGCCAAGCAAGCATTTCCATACCCCAGTTGCTGTGAACTTGGCTGCTGGTTCACAGCTGTGCCCTTCTAAAAGAATTTTCTCTGGCCAATTGAAGCTGTCTGATTTGATGAGACCTAGTAAGCTGCACTCACACATACCTTGCCAGAATCCACTGGCCAATAGATAAGAGTATAAAGTGGGACCTTGCATAACCACCCCTTGTGGAGCCACTTGTGTAATCAAACTTCTGACATCATGCCTGAACAGCTTCATCTCAGGCCCTGTTCCTCCTTCACTCCCTTAAGCACTTGTGCATGAACCTCCATTTCAGCTCTTGCAGAGAACTCAGCCCAAGATTGGGACCTTCCTCCACTTACAGACAAGCCACAGAGACTCATACTCTTGGCATTCCTCCAGTTCCAAGAGCTCTTAGTCTTCTCACCTCTGCTCTCCCCAAATCAATGTCCCCATTTGCACTTAACACCACTGTCAAGAAACAAGTTTCTATACTTTACCAGATCTGTGGCACAAACTGGAAGAAATCTTTTGCAAAGCTCAAAAATGCACTGAGATACTGGTAATTGGTACAGAGTTTTGGAAAAGTTTTGGAAATAGAGCATGGTTAGTTATTGCGATTATATACTGAAAGGCAACCAAGATGACACATTGTCTTGGACATTCTGTACTACAATACAAAATAGTTTTCTTCTAATTTTGTTAAGTTTTTTTTTAGAAGGCCTTCAGACATCATATATTCACATCCAAGGGAGGAGATGTGAAACCAGTTTGATAGATATGCACTTAGGCATTTACCTTGAAGCAAAGCAAAGTACACATTCACATCAATTCTCTGAAATTCTTTGACAATCTAAAAATAGAAAAGAATTCAGTCATATTTAAACATTTGCTCAGGAGAACTGTCAACATTTCTGTGGTTAATCAAGACTTTCAGGAGAGCTTTTTACTGGAAAACCATAGATTATTTTCAGCCTGCCGTGATGCTTTATGTAAACATGAAAAGGCAGTAGCTCAAAACATGACACACCAGGTGAGGTATAGCACAGCAGTAATGCTGGCACTCAAAAGGTTGAGGCAGCAGGATTTTAATTCAAGGCCCTGACCACTAGCAAGACCCTGTTTTTAAAAAGGCAGGAAGAATGCCATCCAGTGCTGGGCAGCAGAGCAGCTCATGACACAGAGGTACTCAGCGAGTATTTGTAGAAGGAGACAATGAAGTAGCTAGGCTTCCAGATAGGTCTTGCTTGCTGCAATAAAAAGTGTAAGATCGTATTAAAAAGAAAAAACTGACTAAACATTCAGGTCTTTGTTTTAAATGTACCCGTGTCAATTATCTTGATTGTACTTTTGTCTTTAGTTTTTTGGGAGAAATGAGGAAGGGGATACATACTATTTCTCTAATGTCCCTTAAAACTAAATGTGAATTTACAATGACCACTTAAAGTTTGATTTTTAAATATCCACATACTAGGTCTGTGAGCAATAGGAACTGTCACCATAAGCAGCTATTCAAGAGTGAGACATACTCTGGCATTAGGACCGTACAAGGTCATTAAACCAACCGGCCAGTATAATCTATAATGAGTCTGAGTCATTGCACAGAGTGAAATAAACAACAAAGAGCCAGCATGTGTTCTCAAATGAGCTAACAGGGCCTGCTGAGAGAACAGAACCTCACAGCATATTCTCAGTCTTTTGCCAAGTATAATTACTTTCCTCTGCAGCACCCAGGCCCTGGCATCAGCTTCTGCTCCTGCAGTGGTAGCCCTCAGCTAAGCTAACACCAGGCGGGAACCCATTTACTGTCATTATGCCTCTTGTTGGTGCCTTTCCCCGCTGATCTCTCTGTCTGGCTCTCTTGATACCTGCCTGCAGCTTCCTCTGCATTTAACACTTGGGATAGCACCTAGTTAAAGTACCTTGAGGCACCTACTGCAGTTGCTTATACATTAATATTTGCCCTCCTCTTTAGCAGAGAAGCCACGGCAGCCTCATCACCTGCGTCTTCTAGGTGGAGCGACAGGCCCACACGGAACCATTGAATGAATGCACTTGACTCTCGGCAACTGCTGTGAATGCTTCTGCCCCGCATGTTGCTCAGCTCTTGCCCTGACGTCCTGGCTCTAACCTGAGGCGTGCCCTTGCTTCTTCACAGTGCTACCTGCTTTCCTAGTCCTGTCCTGCTGCTGTTTCCATAACAGGGAAAATATAATACCTAAAACTTCATTACTTTTCCTGTTCTAATGGCAGTTACATCTTCAGAAAAAAAAAATTAAATGTATTAAGTGTTAACATTTTCTCAGAGATGTCTGTGGGCCAGATGCTCTTGTGTGTTCATTATATGTATTTTCATGTTACCTGTGCAGAAACTACCTTCATCATGCTTATATTACAAAAGAAGAAGGCAAGACAAAGGCAGATTAAGAAACTTGTTCTTGGTCAGGTGCCATGGCCCTGTAATCCTGTCATCACAGCACTTGGGGAGGCAGAGGAAGGCGGATCTCTGTGAGTTTGAGGCCAGCCTGGTCTACAAAGCAAGTCCAGGACAGCCAAGGCTACACAGAGAGACACGTCTCAAAAACTAAACAAAAAAATAAAGAAAGAAAGAAAGAAAAAAAAGAAAGAAAGAAAGAAAGAAAGAAAGAAAGAAAGAAAGAAAGAAGGAAGGAAAGAAAGAAAGAAACTTGTTCTTGGTGGTGGAGGCAAGATTCACCTCACAAAGCCTGACTCCAGAGCTTACGTTGTATTGGCGAAAAGGTTGAGGAGGAAGGGGAGGGAGAGAGAGAAGAGGAATGGACAGGAGGAGGAGGGAAAAAAACTTCACTTAGACAAATCATAGCACCCTTTCACAAGGCTGAATAACCGTCCATCACTTTACTGTTGCCAAAGGCCAGGTCTACAGGACAAACAAGCAGAACCTCACCATCCGCAATGACTTCACTCCCACCACATCCAGGAAGGACACAGCCCCACAATCCAGCACCAAGCTGTGGATTGGCACCTTCGGGACATTCACTTTCACCGGGAGTTCAGAGTTCCAGTCCACTTGAATCTCGATTTCTTTGGTTGGGATATCAAGCTCCTCTGGCTCTTCAACATCTTCATCAGGCTCAAAAGCATTGTTTGATGAGCCAATATCACTTATAATCCCATTCTAACAAAGAAAGCACCTCCAGCTTAATTGTTAGTAATACAACATGCCTTTCAGCAATGTACCCCAAAATGTTTAAAAGTCCCATATGAACTATTCTTTGGAAAACAAATACAGCAAGGGAATATAGTCTTGAGGAATGGATTTTACTACCATTTACACTTCTACACTCTCTAAGAAGAAAATGGAAAAGAAAGCCAAAAAAAAAAGATTTCTGGATGATTGTGGGACTTTCCCAAGAGATACAGAAAAGTCAGAGAAAAAGCTGATTAAAAAGTTCATGAAATAACAATGTTTAAAAATGAGTTCAGATGCTCGTTTTTAATGGGGAGGGGACAAGTTGTGTTTCCAGGGAGCTGTCCTGGTTTCATTTTTCCCACCCTTTTCCTGTAGCCTACAGAACAGATGAGCTGTTCTCTGAAACACGATTGTCATATGCTCCAGTGCATCTGAATACCAAAGGGGCTGGCTTTAGTTGTAGACCATCTAATTGCTTTCATCGGAGAAAGAACCTAGAGGAGAAAGAAGGATGTTGCCTCACCTTTGTTGCCCTTAATTGTCCTTTTTTGATGAGTTTCTGTATTCTCCTCAGTGCTTTCAGCCTCTTGTTATATACTCTAATGGCATCAAATCCAACCTTTGGAAATAAATGTCAGTTACTTAAAATGTCTGGTTCTTAATGTTCCATGGCATTTACTATCTGAGTGGTTGTTTCTTTTTTTCATTTTAATTATGTGTCCCTATGTGGGTATGTGCACATGTGAGTGCAGATGTCCCAGGACTCCTGAGGAGGATGTAAGGTCCCCTGGAGCTAAAGTTAGAGATAGTTGTGAGCTCTTCCGCATAGGTGCTGGGGAACTGAACTCAGGTTCTTCAAAGATCAGTACACTCTCCAAAGGCTGAGCCCTCTCTCCAACACTATTTTGAAAGAACCCCTGCCAGAAAAGAAATTGTGAGGCCTAAGTATGTAGACTCCTCTGTCAGGCACCCCACCCCACTAGAGATGGGGAGGGAAGAAGACAAGCAGATTCAAGACTCTAAGCCAGTAAAAGAGACAAAATCCAGATGGGGAGTTGGGAGGAGGAGAAATAGTTTTAGCTTTAAGTCTGTGTTTTTCTTGGTGTCACAAAGCCATTTTGTTATGGGTAAAAAAAAAAAAAAAAAAAATCTGTTAGCTTCCCTTTGAACTAGTTTACTCTGAAAACAGGAAACTAGCGCTCAGGGGCAAATTCCAAGTTCCAAGCATAGCATGGCACTTGGGGTCAAGAACCTTCTACCCCTTTTACCACACCGGTGCTCTTTACTCCAGCAGGGCAACTGTCCCCCACTCCTCTGCTCTCATCATCTCTCAGCACACTTCCCAGATGCCCAGCACACTGTCTGCCTCACACTTCTTTGCTGGTGAATTTAATGTCAACCTAGAGCCGCTCCAGAAGAGGGACTCTCTGCTGAGGAAATGCCTCAGAAGATTGTCCCGTAGACAAATGTGTCTGAACTTTTCTTGATTAATGATTCCCGTGGGAGGAGGGTCCAGCCCCCTTTGGGCAGTGCCACCCCTGGCCGGGAGGTCCTGAGTTGTATAAGAAACCGAGATGGGCAAAACATGAGGAGCAAGCCAGCAAGAAGCACTCCTCCATAGCTTCTGTTTCAGTTTCGGCCCTGCCCTCCCTCAGTGATGAAGGCCACCTGAGTGTGCTCAGATGCAGCAAACCCTTTCTTCAAGTTGTTTTTGGCTGCGGTGTTTTACTCCAGCGACAAAAACCAACGTCTGCCACTAAAACTTATTTTATTAACTTCTTTTTTTTTAATTGTTTTATTTATATGGGGGGGGCACATGTGTGTAGGTTCCCATGGTGGCCAGAAGGGGTGCCAGCTCCCTGGAAGCTGTATGTATAGGTATTTATGAGCCACTTGATGTGGGTACAGGAACTCATTTTCTGAGAGATCAGGAGGTATTCTTAGCAGCTGAGCCATATTCTTTCAGCCCCTTTTCTATTTTTTTCTTAACATTTAGAACTATTTCTTAAAGTAATAAACCTAATTCAGGTTAGCAAAAATACCTTTTATGAATGAAACTTTTTTTTTTTTTTCAAATAAAAATTTCCAAGGCATGGCACTGTTTTGAATCTATTCACAGAAGGCAGCTGGATCCTCTCGCCTGCCTCTGCAACCTGTTCACACAGCCCTGGAAGTCAGCAGCCACAGCCTTCTGTCTCAGACCCTACTCCAAATCCTTGTCTGTCCTCTCCCGTCTTCCCCTCCCCTCCCTTACAGTGTGAGTCATTTGGTGCACAGATGTTATGACAATGTTATTCATTCGTTATGTATTTTGTTTTGTGAGACTAGGTCTAAGTCTGTAGCCCTGGCTAGCCCTAGGTCTGGTTATGTAAACCAGGCTGACCTCAAGCTTAAGGCAATCCTCCTGCCTCAGCCTCTCAAATGCTGGGATCACAGCTGTATATTCCCACACCGTGCCACAATATAGTTTTTAATGCCCCACACAAAGAGAACCAAACATAAGGCCTTATTCCTAGTTGGTGCCCAAGAAATGAGTGAAATCTGAAAAATAAGTTAAAAATCAAACTTCTAGGAATAAAATACTTACTGTTGACTTGACACATTTCTTAAAACCATCGACATTGCCATAAAAAATGGGACTAGAAAATCTCAGAATCTTCACTCCTTCAGGCTCTTCAAGCTGGCAAAAAAGAAGAAGAGAGAGGGGAGGAAGTAAGGGAGGGAAGAGAGAGGAGAGAGGGAAGTTGAGGTTAAAAGAATTGATGTCTAAATTCTACACCCCAAGCTCTGCCTGTTCTGGTAACATGGTTAGGAGAGGAGCTGGGCAGCTGCACCCTGAGCACCTCTGAGCTATTGGCAGTCACAGGCTAAGAAGATGTGCAGGGTCGGAGGCCACAGAACTAGAACCCAAGCTGAATGACGTAGGCCGGATCTTACAGGCTGCTTCTATTGAAGAAAGTGGCTCTGAAGGCAACATGACTGGTCGCCAGCCTCCACTACTGTCTGTTTTGATTTTGCTAAAATTCTTTGGCTCAAGGGACAAAAGGAATCTGTGCACTCAAATCCTTGCCCTAGTGGTGTTTGTTGTTGTCTGCGCCTTAACGGAGTGGCTGCACTATAGAATCTTCTCCTCCTAAGCAACTGCAGCCATGTTAGCCTATGCCTTTCAGATGAGAACTCTGAGCCTGAGAAGCAAAGTCTCACCACGCAGAGCCTAGAACCTGGATTCCACGTTACAACCTCAGAACTGAGCAGTGGTACGGTTCAGTGAAGTCACGTGTCTCCTGTGCAGCCTGGTTTCCGGAAGGCAACAGGATTCTTTCGTGTGTTTCTAGAGGTATGCCGCCCTGTTACCATGGCGTATTTTCCATGGCCTCTCGATCTCTAGCCGCTGAACTACTTTTGTTGTTGCTGTTTGGTTTTGTTTTGTTTTGTTTTAGATCTTGATACTTGACTCAACGTTACAGAAAGATTATAGAAATAAGCTAAGTAACAGCTACTAGAATTCTAGATTGAATGTACAGTACTCTTTTTGTTTTGTTTGATTTTTCTGGAGATAGGTTTTCTCTGTGTAACCTTAGCTGTCCTGGAGCTGACACTGGCCAGACTGGCTTCGAAGTCAGAGGTCTGCCTGCCTCTGCCTCCAGATTGCTGGGATTAAAGGCGCACACCACCACCACCTGGCCCTTATAGTAATATTTTTTATATTAAGGTAAAATATCATCCTATGACTTTCTAGGGTTCACATTAAAAATACATACTTGTTTATTTTATTAACATAAATCCACTTTTTAAAAGCTAAATTTGTGTTTTTTAAATTTCCTCTGCTTTTTCATCTTTGTTTCCCCTAGCAGCCACTAACAGTTTTACTTGTGACATCTGACCACCAGTGGGATGCCTACTTTCTTTGTTTTCCATTTCCCACTTCATATATTGTTTCTTCCAATTCCAGTGATTGATATATATTTGATATATGTATCAAATAAAGCTTTGGTGACAGAGAACTGGAAAGATCTGTTGTTAAAGCTGAATAAAGAAATCTGGAGGCTGGAGAGATGGCTCAGTGGTCTTCCAGAAGACCCTGGTTGAATTCCTAGCACCCACATGGTAGCTCACAAGTGTTTCTAATTTCAGTTCCAGAGGATCTGGCACCTTCACAGAGACATACTTGCAGGCAAAACATCAATGCACATAAAAAGAAATCTTTTGTTTTTTAAAATCACTCTTAAAAAGAAAAAAAGAAACGTTACAGATATGTCAGGCAATTTCATAAAGGCTATGGATTAGAGACAAGAATATAATTTTTATTAAATGCCTGGAACTAATCTAATTGCCTATTATATTTAATCCTTCATTATGATGTTTACACCAAAAAAACATTCAACTAGCATGGCAGAATCCATGTAACTTATTTATGACGAAAGGCACACTGACTCCCAGGTTCTCAAGACACTCAAGACAGTCTGCTGATGGACTTTTCCAAGAGAAGTCCTCTTGGCTGGTACCTGACAGGTTTAAAGAGAAATGTGTGGCTCCTTGCACTCCAGGCTAGCAAGCCGGCCTGTGACAATCGTCTGACAAAGGCACTTACATTTTTGTAATGTGTGATGCTTTTGTAGATGTCTGTGCTGGGGACCCTTCCAAGACCATTCCATGATGGGCTGCAAGAAAGAAAATGAATATCAGGATTTTTTTTTCAACAGTCACTTTTTCAACTAAAAAGTTAAAAAGAAATAACAGCTATGAAAGAGAACATCATTCTGGTGTTTTGGACTCAGTCTCCTTTGCAGATGACATTTCCCTGTATCTAACTCTGAAATGAACAGCTGGTGTTTGAGTGGAACTGGAGAGAGAGAGGGACTAACTGTCAGTCTCTTCTGGTGGCTAAGGGAGATTCTGAGCACTTTCGTATGCACAGCAGTTTATAGGAGAAGCATCAATCCTTCACACATGGCTAAATCTTCTGGAAGCACAAACTTAACTCTCAATGGCTATTACCCTTATTTTTGTTAGTTCATAAAATGGCACTCAGAGGAGGTAGAGAAGCCAAGTGAAGGACGCACAGCCTCCATCTTCACTGTACGGGCCTTTGGTTCCTTTCACTCCTTTGAGCCTTATGGCAGCCTGCTGATAGAGTATGGTGTCTGCACAGGATCAGATTAGCCTCTAGTTTTAGAAACAGCAGCCTGGCTGAAGTGAGTCCCGCCTGGCAACCGCTGATTTCCTGTTGCTGATGCGCCCAGATAAATTCCACTCTTTCTCCAACTGTGACTGGTGACATATGCTGAATGCAGCCCCCGGAGAAGGACTATCAGTTTGAAGCCCTTTCAGCACTGTGCTCTCTGGATCAATGTTATAATTACTGGAAATTAAATACTGTAACAGGTAGTGCTTTTTGTTGGCTATGAGCCCAGTTACCAAACCATCAACTAAATCGTACCAAGTTTTCCTCTTGGCTAGCAACAGTGAGCTCATTTTTTTTTTAAGTTAAATCATAAGTTAGTCTTTCTCTTAACAACAGCAACAAATGTCCTTCCTAAGCAGACTCACAGAAAAAGCAGCCAGTGAGCACACTCAGTACAAGAGGCAATGTTGTCTACAGACAGCTTCTTCATTGTTCCCTCGTAGCAAACTGGGCCCTCTGGAAGCGGAGGAACCCTGTGCTCCTAGGGAGGGTGCTGAGAGACACAGCCACAGAACTTTCACGTAGGTGCCACCATGCCAATGGAGGGTTGGTGGGATAGGAGAAATGACCCCCACCGCCAATCTGAAGATACCCATGCTGGTGTTTTTCTGGCTGTCTTCTCCCATCACTGCCCAGGCAGAGAAGAGCACCGATATTAATTTGTATCTATAATTTACTTTGGCTAAAGCTTGCTAAACTAAACAAAGGAAGTGAAGACACAAAAGGCGAACTGTCCATGCAGAGAATAAAGGCATTATTTGAGAGCCAGCAGGCCCTGGATACTGAGTGGAGACCATTTGCAAAGGCAAGACTTTCCAAAAGGGCCAGTATGAAGCTGAGAGCTAATCTAGATGAACTAAAGCTGAAGTGTGAACCCAAAGAGAAGACCGAAGCACCTGTACTCAGAGAGGCGTGAGGTGCTGCTGTTGAACACAACCACCCAAAAAGAAACAGCTGCTGCCAGTGCCGTTGCGGAAGATGTTCCTAGACTCCCACTTCAGAGGGGGAGGAGGAGATAACACTGTGCAGTGGAAACAGCCATCTAGTCTCTCTCCTCACAAGAATCTGCCTCTGGACATGCAGCAGAAGAAGGGGAAGAAATGTGTGAAGCTTGTGGATGGTCCAGCCAATGCTAAGGCCTTGCACGAACAAAGTGGGAACACCCTCAGGTCTCCCAGGTGAACTGCAAGAGTTAAGGCTTCCAACAACTGAAGGAAACGAAAGAAACTACAAGCAAACTGGCCAGAGGAGCTTGCAAGAAAACACACACCATCATATACGTGTCCTCAAAGTCAACCAGAGGGGCAGCACCCAGAGTGGCAGTGAGGCGTGGCATGGTGGGCCTTGCTAATGGTCATTCTGTGCCTGGGACACCTATGTGACGCATTTGTATAACCCAGTGCTAACCTGGTGTGCCTCTGTGACCAAGAATTCAGATGTGGCTGAGATTCTGACCCAGAAGTTCCTTAAGTGATAATCCTTCTCAGAACCATGAATCATGGGGAACAAACCATTATCAGAAGAAATGCTATAATTTAAACTTATTTGCTGCATTGGATGGGAATTTTAAAAGTTATGTAATAAATAATCTACCTAAGAACCAAAAATTGGAGAACAGAACATTGAAGTTGTTAATTCTATTTTTCTTCATGCGTCTTTATGGACTTAGCTTTTCCCTGTCTTATAAAAATAGTGAATATGGCTTAAAATATATATTATTACAGAATGTTTTAAAAGTTTAAAGCACCTATATTAATTCATATGTATAATTCAGATTTTCATGACTCAAACATACTAAATAAATAATTTTGAAAAAAAAAAGTTCAAGGCCATACAAGTGGTGCTTTGGGCACCCTTTGTACGTTCTTATATCTACCGCCCTTCCAATCCTTATTTCACCCTAATTCCTTCCAACCCCCCGCAACAGTAGGGAGGAGAGAAAGGTTAGTGGAGAAAGGGAATGTAGACTTTTATAGGCTACTTTCTGCTGATTAGGGAGGTAGAGTTTCTTGTGGCAAATCCAATCTTCATTGTCCATCAGTCCAGCAAACCAGCAATCCAGCAAGAGCAAACACAGTGGCAGGATGAACAAGCAGTGGGTGGGGTGGGGGAAACGACACACAACACAGGATGCCACTGCAGCAGCAGGGGGAGCAGCTGCCTCCTCCTTCAGAATGCCCCCAGCCCCTCCCAAGAGTCCCCAGATTCCAAACATAAACAAACTCTGCTCGGGCAGAACCACACTCCTGCTAGTGCATGGGAAACTCAAAATCACCTGCTCTGAAGCAGCCTCTTATCCCACACCTGGGATTAAACCAAAAACACATTCACAGAACATCACTAGGTTTTTAAAGAAACCAAAACTCTCACTACAGGCAGACTTCTGGAAAGGCAAGAAAAAAAATACTGAAAGGGGCAGAGCTGTGCTTCCCCCAAGCCCAGGAGGACACATGCGGAAGTCAAAACAAAACCGTCACCAAGCAGATAATCTGCCGTCAGCCTGCCTTGCCTGCCCTCATAGGCTGTTTGCTCCATGTGACTCAGAGCTCTGCTGCTTCCAGAGAGCATATGCACTAATCTTATTTACTTCACATAATTGGGTATGTGCCTTGTTTGTCAGATTTGAGTGAATCCTGACTGTAATAATCGTTTCATAAGTTCCCACTTGTGTAATGAGTTACTGGCTTTAAAAAGTAAAATGACTGAGAATATATTGAGGAGCTGACTTGTTCTGTGCCTGGTGCCCAGAACCTCTAATACTCACCGGACTTAACCAAAGCAAGTTCGGATTGCATCTGCCCTTCCCTTTAGCGCAAGGGAAGGAGGGCGGAGTGGAGCGTGTGGGTAAGGGGACTGTGGAGTGAGCTGCTTGGGGACTCGAGTCCTAGCTCTGCCAGTTAGCAACTGGAAGCGTTCAGAGAGATCTTTAAATTTTCTGAGCCTACACTTTCTTACCTGCAGAGTGAGACTAATCAGACTTAGTCAACAGTGTGATCCATACACTCAGCCAATATCTAATATTATAAAAAGAAGACATGTATACATTTAATGAAAACAACCTAGGAAACTTCAGGCTGTGATGTCTGGTTTTTGGTGGGTTTTTTTTTTTTTTTTGGGAGGGGGGAGGTTGTTTGTTTTGGTACTTACAACTGAACTCTCAGGACCACAGTCAGTAGTCCAAATAGAAGGCCAGCTAACAACCCCAGGTCCAGCCCCAGAATGATAGACAGAATGCATGTAAACACCCAGATAACCTAGAGGGGAAAGGAAATGAAAAGATTTGCATTAGCTCATCAGATAATAATCAAGTGATTTGAAACGAATCTTCCCAGAGCTCTAGGACCCTCATACAGAAGACATCAAGGCTTTGGCTCCTCTACTCTCGCTCTGATTCTGCTCTGGAGTTCAGGCTAAACCCCAGAAACAGACATAGTGACATGACAGGTGCAGCAGGGGACGGGGCCTTGTTTAAAGAAACTTGTGTGGTGGGTGACTTACAGCGTCAGTCTTATTCTGCCTCCACAGGCGGGGAACGTCGCACACCTGCATAAACATCCCTTTCAGGTTGGCAATGACGACAGCGGCCAGGACTGACTGCACAGAGGCAGGGAGGCTATGTGAGTCAAGGAAATGGTTTCCATGTGTTCATTCCTAATCTGCTATTTCTCTGATAACAGCCTGGTGAAGAGATAGCGGCGCACAGAAAAGCAGGTTCGTACCTTCTGCAACGGTTCCAGCAGCTTCCCCAGGGCGACAATGGCAACCAACACAATCACAGCTGAGATGATGCCCGCAACCTGAAAGACACTTTCCATGAGATGGGCACACGCCGCTTGCCAAACGTGTGCATTCGAGCCTGCACAGACACAGTTAGTACTTCCTCATTTCTCCCTTTCTGCTTGGTATTTAGAGAAATGAGCATTATTTGCTAAACCCATGCAAAATGGGGAGAAAAACAAAGCAACATATACCCAGTATTGCAGAGAAATGAAGAAAATGTGAAAGCTAAATCTGTTAGCATACAGTTAGTTTGTTCTGAATTTCATCTGAGTGGCTAATGACTCCTGCTGTCAGTGTTGGAGGTGAACCTTCCACCTGTTTGCCGAGCCATGAGACATAACCCTCCTGATTTCCCCAATAACAAGGATGACTGTCACATTCCTGGGCATGCATTCTTATGGCATTTATGAGACTCTTCTGCACTGTGAAAGCAGCAGCCGCAATGGTTACTCTAATAACAGTTGTACCTGTAGCTCATAATTGCCATGAGCAACCCGGAGAAAACAAATTAACCCATGCTATTACAAATTCACAGTGTCACACTGGCACACCAAGACCACAGCTCCTGTCTCCTCCTCTATCAGCTGTAGGCACAGCTCCCAAACACTGGCTGCAACTGTGGAGCAGCCACGGGGAAAGGGAAGGTCAGGAACTTTACCTTTGCTGGCAAAAAAAAGTTCTGCTAAGATCCATAAACAGTTAGGAGGGAGGCTGAGGGGGTGGGGTCTAGTCCTGGTTTGGTCAGTTGGCTTGGCCAGTGAATTCTCTGCTGAGACAGCGTAGGGCATGGCTGAGCTGAAGACTAGAAACTCTGAAACAGAGGAGAGAAGACAGGAAACCAGAAGCAGACTGGTCAGGGGAAGGAATGGGCGAGAGGGGTTAAGCAAAAGCACTGCCCCATGCAAGGTGTCCAGCTAAAGAAGCAGGCACAGCAGATGTCAGAGAAAATTTTGGAAACTTAACCGAAAACAGTCATTCCGTATGGCATACTGGTTATTTATGTTTAGATATGGGTCAGCCTGGGCAATATTGTGACTATACAGATATTAAAAATCTCACTTTGCAATGTCTAGCTTCCTGTTTCTATGATATGCTGGCTCCATGGCCCAGGTTTCTAGCACCATGATGAATAGTTTCCTCTTCTGTCTAAGAAGTTAAGATCCTCCCTACCCTCCCTCCCTCTTCCCTTCATGTCTTCCTTCTCCTCCTGTTACTGGATCAGTATTTGTCGTGTCACTTGCATTTGGCTAAGGTTAAGGGACTCGTGAATTGGTAAGAGGTATATTTGGAGACAGGGATGGCTATCTACACAACTTAGAGCAGGAACTGGTCACCCATTCTCCAAGGATATGTGATAGTAAATCTCTAATTATAGAGTCAGCACCAATTTTGATCACAACATTAAAACCTTTAAGGGATTAATTACTGGAATGTACTGTATAAGGCTGATTTGTGGAAAAACATAGACTTTAATATCTTTGAGAAGATCCATTTCCTGGCAAATGAACTGTTGTTAAATGAAAGGGTAATGAGAGCTATGGAGTAATTTGTCTTAAGAATTACTTTTTTCCGAGCCAGCAGAAGTCAGCATAGCAGTGAGAGAAAGAACAGGAAGGAAGGCTTCGCTCTTCTCAGCCTGAAGTACAGAAAACAGCTAAAGTCCACCAACACTCATTCTTCTACTAGCTCTTCAACAGCTTCGTGTTTGGTCCTCCTTAGGTGCTGGGCCCAGCACAGTCAAAGCTGCTAAGTGGCCATTCTTCCCTCAAGGTGTAGGGTAACCAGCATTTAGTAGCCAGTGTACCCTAGGTCTTTACCTTGTCTCGTTTAATCCTCATGCATTCCCATTCATGCTGAAGAGGAGGCTCCAGCATAAGATATGAGAAACCACCCAAGAGGACTCCATAGTTTGTTTGGTCACAGGTCCCCGGATTTCAGTCCAAGGTCTTAGACTTTTAACCCTGGAACTTAAAATGCTTTCCAGTAATTAAATATCAAGCCATTGCTGCCTTGTTTCCTTCTTCAACGCTGAACTCCTGGCATCGTTCCCTCCTAAATATAATACAGGCCAGTGTGTGGCAGAGGGTATTAACTTACCAGAACACCATTATCCCTGAGCCCTTTGCCAAGGAGGTCACTTTACATGGACATTATTACGGGGGCAGCCAGCCCATGCCTTGTTTGGGCCTGGAGATAACAGCAGGAGAAGAGCCATCAGTAGCTCAAGATCCAGCTGCACCTACTCGGGGCGTGCACCCCGGGAATTGCCCACTGCTAAAGCAAGCCTCAGGAGCTCCAGATGCCCACAGCTTCAGCATACAACAGGCACAGCTTTGGGACTGAGCCCTTTTGCCTCTTATTTTGTGTTGGGTTCCTTTACCTGTTTCCTCTGAACTAGAAATGATTGTAAAAAGCTTTTTTTTTAAAAAAAAAAAAAAAAAAAGAAAAAAGAAAAAACACTAAGAATTAAAACTAAATTTTGCTTCAATGTAGTCAAAAAATTGGGAGAGGCCATTTTAATAGGAGAGGAACATCACATATGCGGTAATGGCATCTGTACTGTGGTGACACAAAAGACAGGTCCATACTGTAGTAACGCCATCCATACTGAGGGGACCTCCAGTGTTCTCCCTGGGCAAGCCACTGCTGGAATTACTGTCTTTCTCAGCATTTGCTTTCATTCTACTGTCTCTCTCTAACAAAACCCTTGAAGATGTGTGTGTGTTACAGCAGTTTGATTTTATTCTCTTTCACAGTCTCAGGCTTTTTGCGGGGAAGGGTTTTAAATACTATTCTTTTCCTATGTCAGAAAGCTAAAGCCTTCTGGTGGTTGACTTTGAGCGTGTCCCCTCTGCTTTTTGACCAGCCTTAGGAGGAATTACCCAGAGGTTAACTGTGGTGCTGTTTTATGGTTACCTTGTGAAAGCAACAACCAAATGCCTTATTTAAGAGGCAAAATTAAATCCATATTCAGAACTTCAAGAACAGAAATACTACTCAGGAAGAAATGCCAAAATAGTACAACAAAAAGCATTCTTGTCTAGCACATTGTTCTGTGAGGCCAAAAGCCTCTGGAGAATTTCCTGACTTTCGAAAAGGACATACGAGTAGAAATTACAATAACTCGGGCAGAGAAATGACTCAGTGGTTAAGAGCACTGGCTGTTCTTCCAGAGGACCTAGGTTCCACTCCAGCACCCACATAGTGGCTCACAACCGTCTGTAACTTCAATCCCAGAGGATTCGATGCCCCCTTCTGGTCTCCCAGGCCATTGCACATATGTGGTACTCATATGTACATACAGGTAAAACAACTCACACAAATTTTATGTGTGTGTATATGTGTAGATAGATAGATAGTAACTTGCAAAGCTGCAAAGAGCTTCCTTTTCCTACTGTGGTACTGGAGATTGGACTCAGAGCAAGCATTGCAATGAACTGGAGCCTCAGCCCTTGTCTCCCTTTTTCTTTTGAGACAAGCCTTCAAAGCATTGTCCTATCTGCCCTCAAATTCATTCTGTAACCAGAGCAGAGATCTCTTGTACTTGGGGTCAGGTCAATCCTACCTCAGTCTCCCAAGCAGCTGGAATTACTGGCCTGTGCCACTAGGCCAAAGCTCTGGGAAATATTTTTACCAGGCTCTTGCTCTCCTTAAATAACAAACTGATAAACATCATCATTGTTCTTTACTTACGACTGTGACCATTCCTGGTTAATCAGGTGAGGGAAGCTATCAGCCAAGTGAACAATGACACATAAGAATTTGGTAGTCATGGCTTCAGGAACCCACAAATGTTGCCTTTTAAGAAGTTTTTGATAAGGGCAAGTCAGAGAGATGAGGCCCATGTTGGATCAGATGAGGAAACACAAGTCTCTCTCTCTCTGAAGGCTAAGAATTGTCCTCTTGAAGCCTGCGGAAATCTCCCTGAGCCAGTTTCCTTCCTGTTCCCTGCTATTAGGGTCATCTGTCTATCCCTGCATACCTGTGTCTTTCCACCGGTGCTCTCCTGGACAGCTGTTCGAGACAGAGCCGTGGTGGCCACAAAACAGGAGAAAAATCCAGAGAAGACGTTGCTTATCCCAAAGGCAATGAACTCCTAAGAGAGAGGCTGGGTGACAGTGATGCTTCAAAGAGAAAGCTTGCCAAACCCTTATCAAGTGTCCATCAGGATGGCTCAGCGGGTACAGGACTGCCTCAGAATCCACGCAAAGGTGAAAAGAGCCATGACTCACCACATGTCCTGTGGCACACATGCCCACACACATCACGTGCACACACACAATAACAACTTCAAATGGAAACAAATTACCAGGAGTTATTTGGCCTCATGAAAAGCTCTTTGTCTAACTTAATAGTTTTGTGTTCTTTTGACTTAAATGAATTAGCTTTTTGGTTTTTTTTTTTGTTTTTGTTTTATTAATTGGTGCTTGTGCCGGCTAGTTTTATGCCAACTTGACACAAACTAGAGTCATTTTGGAAGAGAGAACTACAAATGGGAAAATAACATTACCATATTTGACCTGTGGCCAAACCTGTAAGGCATTGTTTTTCTTTATTTTTCTTTTAAATTTTGTTTTGTTGTTGTTTTTGTCTGTTTGCTTGGTTTTTCTAGATGTTTCTTTGTGCAGCCATGGCTGTCCTAGAACTTGCTCTATAGACAAGGTTGGCCTCTAGCTCAGAGATCCCCCTGTCTTTGCCTCCTGAGTGCTGGGATGAAAGGCGTGCACCACTGCAGCCTGGCTTGTAGAGTAGTTTTTTGATTACTGATGAAATGAAGGGTTCAGCTCACTACGACAGCGATAACCCTGGGCTGGTGGTTCTGGGTGCTAAAAGGAACTGGCTGAGCAAGTCATGGGGAGCAAGCCAGGAAGCAGCAGTCCCCTGTGGCCTCTGCTCCTGTACCCAGGTTTCTGCCTGGAGTTCCTGCTCTGCCTTCCCTGGATGATAGACTACAAGGTGTAGGCTGACGTAAACCCTTTCCTCCCCAGGTTGCTTTTGGTCATAGTGTTTTATTCCAGCAATAGAAACCCTGACCAAGACAGTGTTACTTTAGCTTATTTCTTAAGAAGCAAGGTGACTCAAGAATGCATATTTCAAAATAATTGTTTCCCATCATCCAACCCCCCCCCCCCCCGCGAGACAGAGTTTTTCTGTGTAGCCTTCGCTGTCCTGGACTTGATTTGTAGACCGGGATGGCCTCCAACTCACAGAGATCCGCTGCCTCTGCCTCCCCCAGTGCTGGGATTACAGGTGTGCACCACTGCACCTGGCTTCAAAATGACTTTTAATTACCAAGTTCAAGAGAGACATCAAAATGATAAAAGCCAGTGAAAGAAACCAACACTTTCCTTAGGAGAAAACAAAATCCACCCCAGTTGTGTTTACTTTACTTGTTTCCAGCCTTACGAATTCAGCTCAGCAAACAGGCGACCGTACCTGGTTCCCATCGATGACATAGTCATGTTTGGTGGCATAGACCTTCCCTACAGATACGGCAATAGCATAAGCCACCACAGCAATGGAAAAGGATGCGGCCAGCATGTCGGAAAACAGGCCCACAGATGGCAGCACCGGAGGCAAGAACCTGGTTAGTGGAAAGACTGTTGTGAGGATTTGGCAGCTTTTTCCCAACCTTCCCAAACATTGTGTCCACTTAGTCACATGGAAGACAGGAAAGGGTATGGCCCAAGAAAGCAAAAACACATGGGATACATAAATAGGATCATCTGCTTTTCCTTCTTTCTCTCCTTCTTTCTTTCTTTCTTTTCTTTTTTTTTTAACCAGAAGTTAGTGTTAGCTCACAGGCTGATTTCAGTGGGCCCTGCTTGAGATGGGCTTTATTGTTTTTGTCTTTATACCGGTGACATGGATAAATCTGTCGTTAAGGATTCTTTAACCCAACTCCATCCATGTCCCTTCATATGTAACATTTTTCCTCACACAATTTCACCTTCAAGGTCTTTGACAATGCAAGAGGTTCTAGGGATGTTATAAAATTTAGTCTGTTTGAAGAGATGTCAAGTTTGTTGAAGAGACAAGAAAACAAATTATGATACTGAAAAAAACTCAGCAGAAAATTCTAAAGAGCCATGACATTTGAAAACCTTAACTCTAAGAAGGCAAAACCCTCACCCCACATTAAGCATATGTAATTATAATCACCCTGCAGTCACTAGAATAACTCAGTGATTGTGTTTCCACGGACTAACAAGGCCAGAGAGTCCTCTGTAAACTCTTAAAAATCAAACATATAAACTTACGACTATGAGATTTGTCCCCAAATGTAAAAGTTAGAAGGAAGAGCTTCATTTACCTATGGAATGTCCGTATTGTACAGTACCAAATGTCACCAGCCATTAAAACAAACCCCCACCTGAGACACGCAGGACTAGTAAAGTGGGAATGGAAGTCTCAGAGACAAACTGTAGAGACGTTTCGAGCTGCTGAGCACCCCACGGTTCTACTGAACCTGTCGCTCTCCTTTTTGTAGGAGAACTGTAACCCAAAGATCGAAGTGAGTGCTTGGAGTTTTAGTCCATGTTAGAGATTGGATAGTTCAGTAGCAAGAACTGCCAGACTTCTCCACCATCCTTCTTCTCTGTAGGCTCTGGAATGGACCCCAGCTGTAGACAGTGTGCTAGGAACCTCAGTCCACACCAGTATCACATTGCCTGCTGGTCTGGAGCTGACCTTAGATCTCCCTAATAGGACACAGCCAACACCCAGTCAAGTCTACATCAGATAAGTAGGGTTCTAGCAAAGCACCCTGAGAAGGTTTTAGTTTTGAGAATAGCATGGTGCTCACTGCCTTCATGTCAATAATAGTGTTCTCTAAATATTACTCAGTCCTTGATTACTGGGGTTAAAGATTACGAGGCATGAAATCAAAGGATTTCAGTCATTCAGTGACTTTATGACTTTGGACATGTTGTTTAAACCGGCTAAATCCGTTTCACTGGCCGTCATAGGAGGACTGTGCCCTCTTCTCACGAACTTTAATGAGGTATTGTTGTGTAACTGGTTAGCTCCTCGCTAGGAGTGGTGCTCAGCCCAGGCTGGAAGAACTTAAACCTGACACATTCCCGTCACTACTGTAATTTCTCACAGGACTTTAAAGGTATCGACCACTTGTCCAAAGTCAATTAGAGGAGACCCTGCCTGGACACCTCTTAATGACCCAATTAAGCATATCTTTTAGTACCTGACATAACACTTCCTAAAGTACATGATCACCCCATGGAGTTGTTAGCCCTGGCCAACCCAGTCTGACCCAGGGAAGGGAAGCGGGCACATGAACACCCATCCTGAAGACATGAGGATGGGGAACAGTGGTCCCCAAAATGGGCCAAATAACACATAAAGGGGAGTCACATGTGGCAAAATACTAATCGGATGTTTCATGTCTGGTTGAATGTGAATATTTGGCAAATGTTTCCCCAATCAAGCTAGAGAACGGTGACAGTCCACAGGAAGCAGCACACACGCACGTGAGCGCGCGCGCGCACACACACACACACACACACACACACCATGGAGGAAGAGAAGCACTTGTTGAAATAAATGAGAAACTGGACACACTGAGAACTGTGGGTTGAGAATCTGCTGCATCAGGAGATGCAGGCTGTGACAGGTGGGAGAGAGAAGGTTTTTGTGAATCCCTGTGGGGCACTTTGGTACTGACTGGGCAAAGACAGGTTGTGTTTTTTAACAAGAAGGAGTAGAGAGGAGGACAGAGTGCCCTATGGACCACAGGCCCTCCTTCCATCTGCTGGTGAGGCTTGCTCAGTCCACCTCCTGGTCACGTCTCCAATCTCTACACTCTAGTTCATCGCTGTGTCCCCTCTCCTTATCTCTTACATAACTGGAATGGATTCCTCATCTACATGCTTAGCTGCTTTAACTCACTGGCCACAGTGCTAACAAAAGTGGTCACTCTCACGCTTTAAGCCCCCCCCCACAACACAGCCTCAAAAATGCTAATATAGACACAAAGATATTCCTCTTTTCTTGGTGGTTTCCAGGCTGCTGCACCTCTCTTTGCTGCCTCCATCTTGTAATAAACTCTTTGCCACAGTCTTTGTTATGAGCTGGGTGTTTTAGTCAAGCATCCCAACCCTTTCCCTGTCGCCACCCTGCCTTGCTTATTAGTACCTATCTTATTTGGCTGATTAATATCACATTTAAAATATCGAGAAACTGTCCTCCTTCTGATGCATGGCAAGCCTGCCTCCACCACAGCACTTATTCCTGGAGGATGACTGTGCCCTCACTGGCCGGGGGCCACCCACGGGGCGTGTGGCACACGCCTGCCTACCACACAGACGGGTAAGCAAGGGGTGTAAGTATCTGAACTAGTGTTTTGTGGAAGAAGTTCATTTGTACAAACGACAAATGTCAGGTAAATAATAAGATGGATTACTTTATAGTCATCTGATAGGAATCTTGGTCTCTAAAATATATGCACAAAAAAAGAGAGAGAGAGAAAAACCAAGACATTCAGGATAGTTGGAGAAACACAAGGCAAACAGAAATATTTGAAATGTTATGATGGAAATGTATTGAGGCAAAAAATGTTTAAGATTCTCTTTGAGCATCAGATTACATAAAATAAGGAAGTGCTCTAAAAGCCAAACTAAAACAACAGCGTGTCATAACTGAAACATGTAGAGTGGGACACAGGAGCTAATCAAAAGGGGCCGTAAATGACCCCAAATAGGCAACTTGATTAACAAAAAAGTATGGTAGTAGTGCATGCCTTTAATCCCAGCATTCAGGAGGCAGAAGCAAGTGGATCTCTGTGAGTTCAAGGCCAGCCTTGTCTACAGAGCAAGCTACAGGACAGCCAAAGCAACACAGAGAAGCCCTGTCTCAAAAAGAAAGAAAGAAAGAAAGAAAGAAAGAAAGAAAGAAAGAAAGAAAGAAAGAAAGAAAGAAAGAAAGAAGAAAAGAAAGGATAATTTGCAGCCGGACTCTGTAGGTTTGAGGGGGGAGGCAGGAATTTGTGTTAAAACAGGTCAAGGGTGTTCCAAAGGCTACATTTTTAACACTGGAATGGGTACTATGTAATATAAGCTTTATGTACCAGTTAAAAAAAAAAAAAAACCTTTAAATGGTATTTTAAAAGTTGTAAGATTTATTTATTCAAATGAGATCATTTGCTATGGAAGCAGTTAGTTTCCGTTACAGGCATAAAAAAGTGAGGACAATTTGGGGTCCTCCATTAATTGAAAGGAAGAGAAACTACTGCTTATTGATTGACCCCAAGTCTACTGACGATCACTGTAGTTAATATTACAGCTGTAGCAAACACGTGGACTTCCTCTTGACTGCAGTGGGAGCCGCTTTGTCTGCTCTGCCTTTTTATGAGAGCTCTGGGTGGCATTTCACAAGGTTCAGTTGAGCCTTCAGCTGGGTAATTAGCCATGCCTAACAGAAAAACTTTCCCAGGCCCACTCAAGTTGACAGTGACAGAGATGGAAAAAGGACCTTTGCCTTTTACTCTTCTAATTCAAAAATATCTAAATATTTATGAAATATACATGGAAACAATGCAACTTATCTATAGGTATGAAAGATGGTATCTCCATATGTGGTTGATTGCATGGTAGAGAATTTAAGGCATGCATCCTAGAAGCAAACTGTTCATAATGCAATCAATGCTGACTGTGAATATGCTCATATTATGTTGTAATTATGCATATATGTTTTAACCAGGAGTCTGGTACTCAATGTACACGCCCTGCCACAATTCATGAAAATGGAGCGTGTAAGTCTGCTTTAAACACTAGCCTGAAATCAATCTCTACATGCATTGCCTGTCTGAATCTTGGTGCACATGACATTTCTTCAAGATCACGTGCAGAGAAGACTATCAATGGCGAAGTGAAACCAGCAATAAAACGTCCCATTGAAACAAAGTACCGCCTTAGTTTATTAGCTGTATCTCAGAGGAACGCCACACTCACCCACTTGGGATGGACTTAACAATACCGGCATTGTAATTTTTTTCCAAGTTGGCCCCGTAGGAAATGGCGGTGGCAATTATTGTCTGAAATAAAAGAAAAAAAAAAAAAGTGGAACAAACCCAAAGCCACCGGCTCTAACAATTCCTTGCTTGTCCACCTGCTTGGTGCTGAGTTTTCTAACCACGCATGATGCTTACCACGATCACTTCTATAGGAATAGGGACGGGGATTCTGTGTTTGAATCGATCATTTAATTCCTTGACTGCCATGCAGATGACGATGGTAAGTAACCCAGCGATGAAATCTGCAATGTTGGTGTCACCGACATTCTCAAAAATCTCAATCAGTGTCTGTAAAGAGAAAGTGGATGATAGCATATATGTTATGCTACCCAGATACGCACATACAATCCATTCTCCCACATGAACTGTCATGACTCCTCAAACAGCGTGTATGAGTCCTATTCAAACATCTTAAGAATGGGTATGGCTCAGCGGATTAAGGCTCTCACTCCCATGGGCTGATGGTCTGTGTTCATACTCAGACCCATATGACTGAGGGAGAAAACTGACTCCTGAAAATTGTTCTCTGACCTCCACACCTTTGCTGTAGCACACATGAAAACATATGCACACATGAAAACACACACACACATCACATGTACACACACACAAATAAATTAATCTGTTATTAAAAATTATAAAAATGCATTGGCTAACACAAGAACCATTAAGCACATAACATTTTTAAAATGCGCACATGCACAAGCAAATAATGTAAAGCTTTTGTTAAAGTCATAAAAGTATAATGACCAATACAAGGAACATTAAATTAAGTACATGAAGACAATGCAGTCAGTTCTGATGAGACCTGATAGACTAGGGTCAGATGGAAGGGGAGGAGGACCTCCCCTATCAGTGGACCTGGGGAGGGGCATGGGAGGAGAAGAGGGAGAAGAGTGGGACTGGGAGCGGATGAGGGAGGGTGCTACAGCTTGGATACAAAGTGAATAAACTGTAATTAATAAACAATAAATTAATTTTAAAAATTAAATACATGAAATTTCTAAAATAAACACACAGTAAATTACTAATGGTGATTAACTTGGAGAGGTAAAACAGTGGGTGATTTTTACATTCTTGTGTTTGCTTATCTGTATTTTTAGGATAAAATGGAAAAATTTTCAAGGGAAACTGTGGAATTCTATCTCTTATGGAAAAATAAATAAAATTTGTGTCTTAAGGAGGTTGAATAGGTCTATCCGGTGGTCTTTATATAGACAGGAGTGATGGTGAAACCAAAGTCTGGCAACTCCGAAAAAAAAAAAGTCCAATGACTTTTCTTGGGTCCCAGCCAGCATCCTAAGTGATGTTCCTCTCCCAAGCTGAATGATTCAGGAAAAAGCACCGAAACCTTCAAAAAATGTTCCATATGAAAACCTAAGTGGTACTGTCCATTATTTATTGCAAATTAAAACCACTGAATGAATACATAGGCCAAGTATATATTGTTTAGAAATCAGTGGAACACTAAAAGCTGTTTTCTCCATGTGAGCAAAGCCAGCTCAAGGAAAACTCATTTTGTCTAGAGGTCTCTGGGATACCAGAGTCTTCTTCAAAGGAATCAGTAAGAGAGCATGCTGAGCAGAAAACTGGCATCTTTATTCTGTTGTGTGTTTTTTCTTAGCTAAGTCATGTCTGCAGAAGGCATGCCTTAAAAGTAGAGTTATAGCTGGCTGTGTTGGCACATGCACTCAGAGAGGCAGAGACAGGTGGATGTCTGTTGGTTCAAGGTCAGCCTGGTCTACAGAGGGAGTCCAGGACAGCCAAAGCTACACAGAGAAAAAAAAGAAAAAAGTAGAATTATAAATGGTTGGGAACCACCATGTGGGGATGAGGAAATGAACCCAGGTTTTCTGCTCTTAACTGCTGAGTCATCTCTCCAGCCCCCAGAAATTAATTTTAACATATTCAAGGGCACACAAGTAAGAAGTAGTCAAACCAAGACTCGAACTCCAGTCTGTTGATATACAAGTGCTCTGACCTTTAGCCACGGTGCTATGCTTTGTCCATCTACCCTCATTGCTAGCCTAGTACCTGGCTTGCAGTGAGGACTTAGTAACATTTGCTGAAACATGGAGTAATTGACCAAGTGATGTGGGATTCTGGCGCTGAAGCTGAGAACGTTTCTGACAACCCCACCCTTCCACATGTGTGTATGGCTGTGTATTGTTTGTAGATGCTATTTTTTTTTGTCTTTTAGCTCAAGCTGGCTTCAACCTCACAATGTACATGAAGATCACTGAGAACTCCCTGCTTCACCCCTCAAGGGTTAGGGTTATTGACAAGCATTCAGTGATGGGAATTGGCCTAGAGCCTCATGTATATTTGGCAAGCACTCTACCAACTGGACTACATCCTCAGCTCCTCCTTTCTTAAGGTACTTTTGCATGGCTTTATTCCCCCAAGCCAGAGTGACGTCATGCTACTATTATCACCATGCCCCAAGCATCAGTGACATATATAGAACATATACTCAGAGCTAAGAATTTCAAATCCACTTTCGATGCTCTAGATCCTTCTTTTCATCTTCTCCGCACCTTGAGCCAGCTTTGAATCGAATGTTCCTTTTCGTTTATTATTGCTGAGACATTTACATTATTCATTTTATGGATGCTCATAATTAAAAGGACTTGAGAGACACATCTCCAATCATTTCAAGAAAGGCTTGAAATAATAATTTCGCAATAATAACTTTTCTGGAACTTGCAACATGTCATCTCCTGAGCCAGTTATCCAACTACTCTCTCTTCTAGCAATCCAGGGAGGCAGATTCTATTTGCAACCATATTTTGCAGAGAAGGAAACTGAGGCATGGTGATTTTTTTAAAAGGACTGATAAGTAGCAAGGTCAAAATTTGAATTCAGACCCGCCCACCTCCAAAACTGAACTTTCAGCCACTATCCTCTACGATCTGTCTCGGGGTCACTTAGCTTCTCAGAGGCAATGTCAGACCAGAATGCAGGCCTATAACAAACAGCTCAGCCCTGTCTTTGTTCATCATGTTACCTCAGATTTCTTAATGTTTTTGAGGGCCATCTGGGAAAGTTTTGGAGCAGTTGAAAAATGGTTTGCAAAACGTCATCCTGTTCGGTTCTTTCAGAAAAGTCTATTTTGATGACTCTCAGTGAATACAGAAAAACAGGTTCTCCAGGTTCAAGCTGAAGAGAGAAGGAACAGTGATGTTTCTGGAAAGATATGCATCACTTACATAGATAATGGAGAGGATGCCATTGTAGTTTTTGGTTGAAACATTGAGCACAATCTTTAGCTGTGAGACCAGCACTTGGAAGGCTGCAGCGGTTGTGAATCCACCAACCAAGGGATCTGCCAAGTACCTCACTATGAATCCAATCTGCAAACCTCCAAATACCAGCTAGGGTAAGAAGAAAGAAAAGAGTTAGATGTTTGCCTGAGAGAAGGACCAACTCTCTGGAAATATTAACAAATCAAGTTTTGTACCAGTGAAAACACGGATAGGCTGTCTGTGGGACAAACTCTCTTGTAAGAAACAAGTGAGAATTTCCTGCCCTCCCTTCCATCCACCACTTTAAAACTCAAAACCCATAGGCAATGTAAAAATTCAGTATTTCCATCAAAGAACTATGAAAAGCAAAATTCATGTCACTTCTTTTTGTGACTTTCAGGCCTCCTGGCTCGGCATTTGAACACTTCTCGTTTATGCTTTCTGCATGTATTCTATGCTAACACTCAGTTGAGTCACTTGTGTTCTATTTGCTCTCTTTTCTCTGACTTTGGTGACAGGCAATTCCAGTTTTTGTTTTTCACGTTTTTAAGGTTTTCAAACCTATTTTAGCATCTGACCTAGAACACTGTTATTTAGAAAATTATATATAGTTCAGCGAGTTTGTTTTACAGTTAGATGCATCCGTAAGGCCCCACATCGTGAAACGAGTTCTTTCCAATAAGAATCGCCCTCATCTGTGGCTCATGTAAGTCTGTTACCTGTATGATTCCAACTAGAAGAGTGAGGGTGCTTGCAATCAGCACTCTTGCTGCATCTCGGGTTCCGGCGTCTAACGCGGTGGCGTTGAGAGCGCTTCCGTTTCCACTGGGCACGAGAAAGTGGTCGTCTGGAGCCATGCTCAGCACAACAGATCCCACCATTAAACTGACCACAGGGAAAGGGCCTGGGGAGAAAGGTTCAGTCAATTGGCCGGTCACGGGTCACAGACATCTAGACTCAACATGTCTATGTGCAATTACAAAGGGGTGTGGTAGTTAGCTGTAACTGAGAAATGCTGTTCGAAGAAGCTGAGAAGTAGACATCGCACGGCGTTCCCGACTCGGAGAGGGCGAGAGTGACATGTAGGTAGGTGATAGCAAACCAGTGTTGAGTGGGTTCATAGGAAGGGTGCTAGCTCCTCCTGTGTGGGAGCCTTGTGGCGCAGGAGTGGGAGGCATCAGGAAAGGTTTCCTGGCAGAGGCCCATAGAAACTAAATCCTTACTTATTCAATTTCATATCTATCCCCTATGATCTCATCTCTTATAGTGTTCAAAATCCTGATCCCCGGACACAAGCGGCTCCACCAATAACACTGTGTCCACACTGACAAAGGATTGGAATCAATTTTCTTTTTTCTCATATGCCAGTTAATAAAATCCCATTTTTTTCTGATTTCTTCTATTTGCTCCTTACATTCCCCCCCCCCCCCCCGCGCTGCTGCTGCTGGTCCTATCTTTCGATTACAAGAGGTGTCAATACCCAAACCCCGTGACTGGGAAGATCTAACTGTGGAGAATGCCAGAGGCAGAGCCACTTGTCCCTTACTGATTGCTTCCCCAAAGAGAGGAAACTGACTCAGTCAACAAGTTCCTCACGACCTGCTTCTGCAGACATGTCAGAAGCTAAAACCCGTGAGAGTCAGAGCCATGCACAAGGGCATGGGGTAGGGTAGAGGGCAAGGCTATGCTTGCCCCAAGAGGGGCATGCAGGCAACACGTCTCACCAGTATGTGGACACAGCAGCAAACTTGCCTTCATTGCTCACGCCGAAGTCACACAAAATCATGTCAAAACATGTATTTGCTCGTACACTCCAGAAAAAAACAAAAGAAAACAAAAAAAAAAAAAACATACCCTGAATGTTAGGAGTGAAAGAAAAACCCAATTGTGAGGCATGCCAAGAAGGAAAGGAAAGATTATTTTTTTCTAAATTGTCTTGGCAGGATTTTGCTAGCCTTCCAATATGACCTTATTGAAATAGGTATGTTCTTTGATGAAATAACACATATGTATTTAGTGGCCATAACTCACTAAAATACAAAACTAACCTAGCGAGGTAAGTGGATTCGGTTCCTGTAAAGAGTTTTTCTCTCTGTCCTATGTTGGAGGAGAACACTTTTAAATACAGAACCAATTTTATTACGTTTAAATTATGTGTATGTGTGTCTTTGTTTTTTTGAGACAGGGTTTCTCCTTGTAGCCTTGGCTGTCCTGGAACTAACTCTGTAGCCCAGGCTGGCCTCGAACTCAGAGATCCTCCTGCCTCTGCCTTCCAAGTGCTGGGACAAAGGCGTGTGCCACCACTGCCAGGCTACCTTTAACATTTTTAAGCTGTGATAAAATTCAAAAGTGTGCTATCATTTCCAGCCTTTCAGCTTTATTTCCATGAAAGCACAGTTACATATATATTTAACAACGTCAAATGGTAAAGATAGCAGGCAAGGTGCTGAGGCTTGGTTCCTCGAGAACTCATGGACAAGGTTCTGCAGGCATTGTATACACGATGCAGCAGAAATGCTTTACAAATGAAAAATACGGCTGTAAAATATACTTGTAATTACCAACTGAGATGTGTCTTGAGGTTCCAAAGACAAAATACGTCAGGATAGGGAAAAAGGCCGAGTAGAGACCGTACTGAACAGGAACTGCAGCGAGCAGTGCATAAGCCATCCCTAAAGGTACAAGCAACACAATAAAAGTCACCAACAGAAATTATGGCATGTTCGTACCACACAAAGAAAGGCTTTTTCATAGACACGCTCAGTTTATGGATCCAAAACATCAGCCAGTCCTAAGTGGTTTTCTTATTTTTCATACAGACCTTGGCTGTGCTAGGATATGGTCTCAGGCTTGGCTGGGAGAATGGGTGTTCCTACGCCCTTGCTCAAACGAACTGACTCCACTGCTCAGAGATTCCATCACTGGCTGATAATATCGGCTGGAAAGTAATCAAAGCAGTTCCTGTAGAATTTGACTAATCCAGCTTTGCTTACGTGGATAGTTCTGTTTGAACCCGTTCCCCTCTGTGTTCTAAAGGATGCAGGTATCATTGCATTTTCTCTTTTCTTGCTGAAAAACAGACATTAGATAAAAAGCACGACACCCACTTCTAGCCTGATGAGGGAGACCTACCCACCAGTGGGCTGTGCCAGACAGCCTCCGGGCCATGAATCTCAGAGAAAACATTTCAGTGGACATGGGTGTTGGAAAAGGATAAGGGCATATTTCTTCCCTTAGTTAAATATGTTGGCAGCCTTAGCACAGGATATCTCTCTGTACGTCACACTTCAGGGGTGAACATTCAGAACGTTGAACCTTGCATTATTAATAAAGAACTATTTATAATTATTTTTAAAACTTACTAACAACTTAAATGACCCAACCCATTTGCACTTAAGTTTATTTACTGAAAGATTATCTTCCAATAAAGAAACGATTAGCTAAATTATACTTTTACATGGTAAATCTATGTTGTAAGGGATTTGGGGGGAGGTCTGAGAGGCTTGGGAAATTCAGAAGAAGGGAACTGGTGTAATACAGAAATACTTTTTTCTAACATAACCAAACGTAAAGTAAAACTTTAAAAAATTGTTACATTTTAGTTTATTTTGTGTGCATACATGTATGTGTTGTGAAAGCAGTAGGGAAGCCGGTGTGTGTGGCATGGCATGCGTGTGCAGGTGTGTGTGTGTGTGTGTGTATGTGTGCGTGCGTGCATGTGTGCAGGTGTGAGGAGAACTTTTGAGAGTGTTCTCTCTACAGTGTGTGTCCTGAGGATCACACTCAGGCCCTTATATTATTGATGCATTTGTTTTTTGAAAATTTTGTATGTGTGTTTGGATGTGTGGTATACATGTGTGTTGTATGCACATACGTGTGTTCAGTGCACCAGAGTCTAAGGAAGACATAAGGTATCCTGCCCTGTAGATTTTATTCCTGTAAGACACAGTCTCTCACTGAACTTGGCTAGGCTGTCTGTCAGAAAGCTGGGGATTTGAACTCAGATTCTCATGCTTGGGCAGCAAGTGCTCTTAACTGATGAGCTGTCTCCCCAACCCCTTGATGCGTTTTTTTAATACACTAGTTATTACAAGGAAGTAATAATCAGCTGTCTGAGGAACAAAGAACAGAAGGAGAGCAGATCCACAGAGAAAAGACAGAAAAAGGACTGGGGAGGAAGAAGGTACAGGCTGCCTGCTTCCTGTGGACAGTTTTCAAGTCCTCAAACAAGGAGTTCCCTGAACAAGGTGCTGTATCTCTTCTTTGTTCTTCTCCTTTGCCCCTCCTACACTTGTAATATGCCTGGGAAACAGGATGCTCTCAGTTTGCATCCACAGTGTCTATTTAGGGGCAACTTTTCCTCATGTACAACATGGTTATCTTTGTCACAAAGGAATTTGAAACATTTTTGAAATAATATATAGTTTGGAAAGAAAGAGACTATTGATTGAAAGTGTAAACCTCCCGTACTGGTAGACAGACTGGATAGGATGGTGGCATGCATGCTAAATTGAAACCATCTGAAAGGAAAGACCTTCCGCCATGTAAGACTACAACAAGCCATTTAGACTCCTTAGCTTCAAAACTATGAGAAGTAAACTTCTATTATGTATTGAGTACATTGATAAATGTCAAAGATAAAAACCAGATAGGAAGCATCCCATAGCTATGAGTAAAGATACCAATAAAAGGGGCTTGTAAGTTATTTGTGGCTATAGAAATTTCCTTCTTTTTTTTTTTTTTTTTCCTGTTTGGTTTTTTGAGACAGGGTTTCTCTGTATAGCCCTGGTTGTCCTGGAACTCACTCTGTAGACCAGGCTGGCCTCCATCTCAGAGATTTTCTTCCTCTGCCTCCTGAGCACTGTGATTAAAGGTGATGTACCACCAGCAGCCTAGGAATTTCCTTTCTAACACTAGGAATCCACTACCTCAAATGTTTCTCCCAGCACTTACAGGGCTCAGCTAGTTAGCAGGTCATAGAACCTGCCATCACTGCTCTGCAGGATAGCCTCCCTCTCTCTAGCTGTGGCCTGGAGCCACCCCCCAGCTACCTTCTCTGGAATCCTTACTGGGGCATCACTCTATCTTCATAAGACTCCTAGAACCAACCACTTAGTCTGGCTTCACTTCCAACCTGGGTCAGCTCCATTCGCAAATGTTCCTCTGTCTTCTCCCCTACCTCCTTCCTTTCACTGGGAAAAATCCACTAAGAGACCCACAGGCTTCAGAACAGCCTTCAAAGCAAGGACACAATTTAGACATTGCACCAAGACTAACCAGTGCTCAAAACAATTCCTGATCCCCAGCCTCGAGCAGGCACCGAGCAGGCACAGAGCTCTGCAGATGAGACAGTTGCATTTCCTCAGCAAGCATGCCCTTCCTCTCCCTCAGACAATTACTGGTAGCTTTCCTTTGACAACTGCAGAAATCTTGTCTTAGAGTTCTACCCAGAGCTCCGCCACTTTCCCACGACTTCCGTCCTTGAAGCTACCCTGCTAACCCTTAGACAGATCTCTTCTGCCAGGCAATTCCTGACAGCTCAGTGATATGTTCTAGTAGTTCCTGCTTTAAGAAAAAGAAGAAGAAGAAGAAGAAGAAGAAGAAGAAGAAGAAGAAGAAGAAGAAGAAGAAGAAGAAGAAGAAGAAAAAGAAGAAGAAGAAGAAGAAAAAGAAGAAGAAGTAGAAGAAGAAGAAGAAGAAGAAGAAGAAGAAGAAGAAAAGAAAAGCCTCATTCCTGCCACCGTCATCCTGTGTCTCTTTCAAACTCACAGTGAAACTTCTTAAAGGCAATATGCACTCACCGCTGTCTACTAAAACCAGCCCTTCAGTGTTTGCTGGCCCCTGCCCTCACCCTTCTGACTAAGCTTCCAACCACCCCCCCATATCTCTGTTTGTTTCCCCCCCAGCTTCATGATCCAAACTTCCTCAACTTCTTAACTGCCTTTCCCCCTCCTTGTCAGCCTTCTCTTTTCCTCCTTCCTAGTGATGACAGGCACCCCCACTCTATTCTTTTAGTACACGTGTATATTGCTACATTGTAACGCTGGTGTCTTGCACCCCACACTTGCTCCACAGCCAGTCTTTACTGTTTTAACAAATGACAGTCATCTCCCCAATTTGCTTAAACACCTTAGAGCCGCCTGATTTTCATCTGCACTTACCAGTACATAACAGTGATTGCTGCTGCAGAATGATCTTCTATCTTGCAGCGCTCTCTAAGTCCCGCCTAAGCTAGCTCAAGGTGATGAATCCATCCTCAGGATGGGTCTGGGGTGAAGCAGTGAGGTGCCTTGGGAGACTTTATTTAATTAGGACCCTGAGAGTGCCTCCTTGCTTCCCCCAAACTCTGGATCTGCCTGGTCTTATATCAGATCTCATCCTCAAGATGGCCGGCCCATACACACTCCACATGCCCGAATCCTCATTTTCCCGCTTGTCCCTCAGGTCCTTTGCATCTTTATCTGATAGTCAGTCGTCTTTCTGCTCCCAGTCAGCCCCTGGGCTCTGTCTAAAGCTCTCCTATTGGGCTAGGCTTTCATTAACCATGGTGTCTAAAATAGACCTGCCTTCCCAAATTACTTCCCATCAGGTTATAGTCCCACTTCTACCACTGTACCTGAGCTCCACAAGTGTGTTAGTGATGGCTGACTACCTGATGTACAGAGCCAGCCCATAATAGTTTACTATGTGCGTGAGTGATAAGCAAGTGGGTGAGAGAGCCAAATTAATCTTTCAGAAACTTACCTACCAGAGACAACTTTATAGCCTTGTTTTTTTCTGGAAAACAAGCTACCTATAAAATGAGGAACTGAGAAGGGCAGTGGCAGCTCACGCCTTTAATCCCAGCACTCAGGAAGCAGAGGCAGGCGGATCTACAAAGGTAGTTCCAGGACAGCCAGGAGTACACAGAGAAACCTGTCTCAAAAGACAAACAAACAAAACAGAGGCACTACAGTGTACAAGGTATGAATGCAGGAATTAGACTGGCTTCAAATCCCAGCAGTCCTACTCTCCCACTCCACAATCTGAGGCAAGATTAGATTTCTCTTTTGTTAAAGGGGCTGTAACAATAGTCCCTGTCCTGCAGAGTTCTTGTAAGAATGAAATTAAATGTATCAGATACATGTTGAGCAAATATAACTCTTTCCCCCTCTACTGGGGTTCAATCTCAGGTCCCATGGTTGGCAGCCAAGCATTGAACCCCTGTACTTCATTCCCCAAAGATAAAGTAAGTCTTTATAACACACTTGCCTATGACAACTAAGAATAGCTTGCCCCCCCCCCAAAAAAAAAACCCACATTTTTTTCATGTATAAAAATGTCTTATTGTCAGGAATGAAAGTCAGTCCTTTTGGTTAAATATTGATTGTGCTGATCTTTGTGCTAGACAGAGCCTAAACAGCCATGAGTTGGAGAAGTCTCCTGTTCTCCAGGAGCCCTAGGAGCTGCCACTTATTTATTTATTTATTTATTTATTTATTTATTTATTTATTTATTTATTTGTTTATTTGGTTTTTTGTTTTGTTTTGTTTTGTTTTTTGAGACACGGTTTCTCTGTGTAGACCAGGCTGACTTCAAACTCAGAAATCCACCTGCCTCTGCATTCCAAGTGCTGGGGTCAAAGGCATGCACCACCATGCCCAACACACTTTCCAGACTTCAGAACACACTATAGAACATATCACACCCTCACCACTGGGATCTAGAGCACACTGGGTCCAGCTGAAGCTCCGAGTAGGGACTGCAGAACCTCCTCCTCTGTGGGAATGCCCTGTCTGCTCTGAGGAATCTGAAGAGTGTCAGAGCCAGATTTACTGCACCGTATTGCCTAACCTTTATTACAAGCTTCTGAAGCAGTCTGTTTTCAAGGTCTTTCTCCACACCTCCACACCCTGAATCATGTCCCATTACTTGGCAAACTCAGATGTCATCTTCGGCACCTTCGGGAGAACTCAGCTTCGACCACTCTACTTCCAGGGAGCCATCCCCCGGTACCCTAAGAGCAGGTACAACAAACCTCATTGACTCCATCCTGTTAAAGGACATCTCTCCTGCCACAGCATTAGCACACTGACCTAGGAGCATTCATTTCTCCATGGGGCTATGACCTCCTTCAACGCATCTTAGCCTTGATCGTTCACCTAGTGTCGGCAACACACTAGGTGGGCTGTAAGTTACACTGGATAAATGAGCTCTGTTGTCATAATTTGGAGGCTCTGTGGAATTCCGTGTGTGGCCCCAGGCTAAGATGACTTCCTCTCCTCCCTTTAAAGTGCTTTCACACTGCAGATCAATGTACGGGAGAATGTGAATAAAGTAACTTAATGAGCTGAAAGAGTTGGGTTTTAAAAACCCTCAGAACAGAACAGAAAATATCAGAGCACATTATTTGTAGTGAGAAGCATTACTTTACGAAGCTTTAGCTATGTGCACACATATCACGATGTAATGAGGATTTCATACTGTGTGCTATGGCCAGTAACTTTGGGAAGTTCCAGCTTGGGACATGACTGTAATATGGAGCCTCACGGCCAGGGAGACAACAGTGTTTCCCAGGAAAATATCTTTGTGGAAGAGGAGATGGGTGATTCCTTCTACTAAGGTTCCCTAGAGAAAGCATGAAGGCCTTGAGAGGGGCACCATAAATCTCTGCAGGAGACAGTAACCGAGACCTGTCCACCAGCATCTCACCTTGCAGGGTGCCCACTAGCCCAGTGCTCACTCCAGAGATGACATCACTGAGCAGCCATTCCTTGACCCGGTATTTGGGGAGCCAGTCCAGAATGGGCAGGAGAGCCTTCAGCACACCAAAGGCTCTTTTTCTCGAGCAACTGTCAAAAAGTAGGAAAACGACTTGTCAGATCCATCTCTGACCATAACCAGTTACAAATAACAGTCATAAACCAATTTCTGCTTAAAAAAAAAATAACTAGTGAGAAAAATAGTGAGTTCCATGAAGAAAATCCTGACACTGAAGTACTTGCCATGTTTTCACGAAGAATTGTATCTGTCCTTTTAAATGCACTGTTCTAGGAAACACCGGATTAAACATCTCCTCCCCTCGTCCACCTTTTTAATCCTCTGAGAAAATATCCCTACACAAGAACTCATTTTCTGATCCAGCCAGAAAATGATCAGTGTGGAGTCTCTGTGTGAGATTAATTTTTAGGCTCCTAACACTGGCATTGCCTTCTTTGAAGAAAAACAAACACAAGACTATTTTGGCAATACAAGCTTAGAGCCACTTTTAAACAAAACTTTCAATGTGATGAATTTATACGTTGTACCTTGTTACTTAGCAATTTTGAAAGTAACAAACTATAGATAAAAAGAAAAATAGATAGAACTTCTACTTTTTAAAGTTTTAAAAAAAATTATATTTATGAAATAATTGCAAAGTTTAGTAGGTAACCCAAGTTTTATATTAAGGGATTATTTTGTGCTGATAAGACATAGTTATATATTTTTAAGTCCTTGGAGATACACACTAAATGTATAAATATATATCGTGGTCCTTTTCATCTGCCATGTGGTTTTGTGGATTCAATCCATTGCAGATAAAAAAAAATATAAGAAAAATGTACTGAATATATGAAGGGTCCCCTCCCCCATTTCCTAAATTTAACAGTGAGATGAGGGCTAACAACACAGTTATATGGTTTTAGTACTGCAAATAATCTAGAGAGAGTTAAAACGATGCAGATAGTTAAAGATGTGTGGGTTTTGTGCAAACATTAATCCATTCTACATACGGGATTTGTGAATTTGGAGGTTTTGCTGTCTGGGGGTTGGGGGCTCCTAAAACCAATCTCCTATAGATACCAAGGGATAACAGTAATAAACCAAATATCCAACATATGGGATTTATAAAAATCACGCTGGAGAGCCCAGCACATTTGGCATAAAATTCTCAAAGAAAGTAGCACCCCCCCTAAACAAAATACATTGCATGCATGTATTGAAATCTCAAAGACTGCCGAGCGGTGGTGCACAGCCTTAGTTAGTCCCAGCACTCGGGAGGCAGAAGTCATTTTGCATAAGAAGAGACTGGCGATCAGCTGAGCGTCTGCCACGTTTTTGTTTTTGTTTTTTGTTTTTTGTTTTTTTTTAAGTTTGTAGTGTCTGGTCCTGGGTCTCCTGGGGGTGGGGAGGGGAGTTGGGGACGTGGTGGTTATGTGTAGGGATCCCACTGCCTCTTGAAGAAGCACTTGGAACGCTTGGCTGCTCACTTTAATCCCAGGTCTCTGAAAGTGATCTTGACCTTGGTGTGGCCAGCCTTGTTGGAAGGAGCACTTTTCCGACCCGGTTTCCCCTAGCTTGGAAGGAAGCAGGGAGCCTCTGGACCCCAAGGTACCCTCCAGGTTTCATTTAAAAAGGTGGGGGGGGGGGGGGGAGAAAAGGTGCAAGCGGAGCGGAAACACTGGGGAGTTTCTGCAGACAAAGTTGCAGCGACTCCAGTCCCGGATGGCTGGAGCCACCCCTGTCCCGCATCCAGCGCGGGGAGAAGCGGGAGCGCGGCCGGCGCAGAGCACGTGGCCGCGGGGCGCCCGCTCGTCCCCGCGCTGGTCCCTCCCCCAGTCTCCCGGCGCCCGCCCCCGGTACCTGCAGCTCCGCGCCAGGCTGTCCCGCAGCGTCCTGCGCTCCTGCAGGCGCCGCTCGCGCTGCTGCTGGAAGGCGAGCTCGCTGTACAGCGGCCGCGACACCGCGTAGCCGCAGCCGTAGTCGTCGAGCTGCGGCGGCTCCGCCCGGCCGCCCGGCGCTGCCATGGCCCGCGGAGCCAAGCGCCGCCGGCCGGGAGGGGACGCGGCGAGGGCCGGCGCTCGCTCGGGAGCTCGCACCGGGGTGGCGGCCGCGGGTGCCACCGGCGGCGGCGGCGGCTCTGCAAAGCCGCTCCGCGCCCCGCGGTCCTCGGCGCTGGCCACGAACCGTCCCCGCGCAGGCCACCTGCAGGACGGCAGCCGAGGGCCTCAGCGTCTCCCGCACCGCGCACTCGGGGATTCCCGGGCACCCTCCCTGGGCTGTCGAGGCGCTGTCCGCGTCCTGAAATCTCCCCCGGACCGGCCTGGGGCGAGTGCGACCGGGAAAGGGACGGGCCCTCCCCGCAGCTCCCCGCACACTCGGGGCTGCCGCAGTGCAGTCGCCCTCGGGGACAGGGGCAGCGGTTTCCCGGCCCGACCCCTAGCTCCCTCTCGTCTCGCCCTTGCTGGTGTCTGCCCTGCCCTGCCCGCCGGCGCCTGACAGCCCCATCCCTAGAGAGTTTCGGCAGGGCGGGGTGCAGCCGGCTGCATCTTCTGTGAACTCACCTGTTTGGGCTGCCCGACCAGAATGCCCTGGGGACAGTTTTCCTGCTGCCTTTATAGCGCTCACCGAGAGCCGGTGGGACGTTTTATTTATGGAGCAACAGAGACGCCTTGGTTTAAGGAAAGGACACAGACAGCGGTCTTTCCCCATGAATCTTACCAGGAAAAAAAAAAAAAAAAAATCCCAGCCCTCCTGTGTTCTCTTTCTTTCCCAAACCCACAGAGCCGGAGCTCTGAATAGTTGTTTCACAGGGGCCACCGATCTTCACCCATTACACGACCACTGTTGGGAGATACGGGACGGATCAGAGCTTGGGGGAGCAACTCCCGGCTTCGGTGTTGGAGGAGCCAGGTTGAATCCTAGTCCACCAGGCGCACTGATACCACGTGGGGAGAAGGAATAGAGATTAATGTGGTTTGTATGCCAATAAAGCTTTGGAATTCTGAAAAGTCTTTTAGGAATACTCAGTGGATGGTGGAGGGATTTTCGTTCGCTCACTGATTGTAGACAAAGCCTTTTCACTTCTGTTGCGTGCGTGTAATTCACAAGCTCAAGCGCGGAGGCTTGCCCCTTTCTCACCTGCCTCTTTTTTATTTTTCAAAGTTTCTTATAATGTATTTATTTATATATAATAGTTTTATTTTATATATTTTATGTACAACGGTGTTTTTCCTGAATGTGTGAGGGTGTTGTCTCCCCTGGAACTGGAGTTACAGGCAGCTGTGAGCTGCCATGTGGGTGCTGGGAATTGAACCCAGGTTCATCTGGAAGAGCAGACGGTGCTCTTGACCACGGAGCCATCTCTCCAGCCCTCACCTGCCACTTTGACTCTTTAATTTTTCCTCCTCCAGCTAGCTAATCAGGAGGTGAAAAATTAGGATAAGCAAGAAGCAAGACAAGAGCACGGGATTCCAAGCTACATTGTTTTGTATTCTGTTGGAGTAAATCTGACTGAAACTAATGCATGGTTAAAATAGGGGCAGAGGACTTTGGAACTTCACATCGTTCGTGTCTGGTCAATATTCTGAAGAAAATGTGGAAGAGTTGGTGTCCGTGGACCCTCTGGACACCAACTTTTGATCACCCACTTGGGAAGACCATGACAATTTTACAAAATCCCGGAAACAAAATTTCAGGAGAACGCTAGGGTAAATTCCCTAGTTAAGATGTTGCAAGCATGTGTGGTTTCCTCCCCCTACTCCCCCCAGGAAGGAATGAGTCACCCGCTTTCAACAGATTTTCAAAGGATCACTTGACCCAAAGAGGTCAAGAGCCAGCCAGGCATGGTGGCACATACCTATTGTCTCAAAAAACTTGGGAGGCTGAGATGGGAGAATCGCTTGAATCCACAAGTTTGGCACCAGATTGTGCAACAAAGACAAAGGGAGGAAGGAGATGAAAGACAGACAGACAGACAGATTTTAAAACTGTTAAAGACGGAAGAGACCACAAGGACAACCTTCTTCCAAACTACCCTCTGCTGCCTATACACAGTCAAATGTGATAACCCAGCTTCGTATCATTATCAGGCTTTCCACCATTATGGGCTTTAACCCTCTAGAACTATAAGCCGAAAATAAGCTGTTTCTTTTCAAAATTGCCTTCAGTCCTAGAATCAGAGAAGTGACTGACACACTGTCAGGACCTGGTTGCTATAATGATGCATTTGTTGTGAAAAGGTATTGGTGAAATGTAGTATTTTGTGTGCTGTCTCAGAAAATTAACAATACCGAGGAAGAATTTGGGAAGTGGTGAGAGAGCTCACTCAGTGAATAACGGAGCCTGCCACCAAGACCTGAGTTCAAGCCTCACAACCTACAAATTGTTCTTTGACATCAACAGCATTCTACCCTACTTGCAGAGACACAAGCGTAAGTAAATAAAAAGTGTTAAAACTTTGTTTTGAAATAAAACCTGGTTTAATCATAACTCTGTAATGTCCTGTATGTATCTGAACAACGATACTGTTTTTTCCCACTCTGTTAAAAGTATCTTTTCTATAGCAAAAGTAAACATCCATAGAAAAAATAGGATCTGCATTAAAGCATTTGGTAACACTATAGAATTGCTCTTCTCAAAGCTGAGAGACGGACTATTTGACTTAGGCTATCTTTTAAATAGATAACTGGGCCAGTGGTTCACTGGGTAAAACGCACTTGCTGCCAAGCCTGATGACCTGAATTTGATCCTTGGGATCTGAAAGGAAGAAAGAACTGACTCCGACAAGTTGTCATGTGATCTCCGTATGCCCCCACACAAAATAAGTAAGTAAATGTAAAACTAAATGAATAAATAAAACATAAAACCAGAGAAGAGTGGGAGGTAAACACAGCTGTTCTCCATCTCGCTGTGTTTAAAGCCTCCGATTACTCACCCTGGCTTTGTAAATCAAGTCTCACCTATTGCACATAGGAGTGGTTGCTTCCTATTTACCAGAATTTAATCACATCATGGGGTTTCCGCAAAGAAGAGAATGCTTCCCTTTAAAATAGATGTCAGAGGGCAATATGGCTGCCTTGTGTGACACTTCACAGACATTGCTGATTTAAGGCCCAGGTGAGGTGGAGCAAGGCTGTCATCCCAGCTCTCAGGAGACAGAGGCAGGAACAGGGTCAGAATTTCAAGGCCAAGCTGGTCCACAGAGAAAGTTCCAGGCCAAATGGAACTAACTGTATGATGAGGATCCTGAGCCCTGTCCCCAAAACAAGCAAGCAAACAAGCACCCTAAAAACCACACACAAAAAAGGCATCGCCACTTAGGCTTTTAGAGTTTGAGACCACCCCACGTTAGATCTCTATATCGTTCATTCAAGAGTTTATTAAGCATTCGTTGTGCCCCTCCCCCACCAACCAGGCCTATTGTTGCCCATAGCCTGAGCTCTGCAGGCTGTGTGCCAGCAAGTGCCCACTTGGACTTCTGGGGATATCAGCAATGGCATCATATGGAGAGCTACTGCATCTTGGCATTTGCATCCAGTAGACGCAAGATACTGCTAACATCATCATCACACAGCTGTTGGGATGCGAAGCCACCGGAACGCCTACAGAAAGTCCACAGAATGCCGTTTCACCTTCCCGAGGTTCTCCCCTCATGAAGCTCTCCCCTGGAGCTCTTCCTGTGCTTATGAGGCTGGGTGTCCTTCAACCTTCCAAACTCAGCACATGGACTGGCAGGAGTCACCCTGGGCAGCTTGTGCTTGACAGCGGAACCCAGGCATCTGCAAGAGACGATAAAGCACCACACGAAGAGCAAGAGCTGGAGTTGGATTCAGGCGACGACGTGGAAAGCTGCCTGCGCTCCACGGAAATCACCGAGGAGCTCTGTTGGTACTTGGTGGAGACCAAGAAGCACAGGGAAGAGGGACCGCGACAGCCCAGCTGGATGAGTATGTGAATGCCGACCGTGGCCTGTACTACAACCCCCACCGGTCAGAGGAGCCCATCCCTCTGGTCAGTGGAGTCCCCATCTGAGAAGCTCACCAGGGGAGCGGCACGAAGCCAAGACGAAGCACTTGTATGCGGACAGGGCTCCCAAGATCCTGGCCTTGGAGGCTACTGAGCAGCTGAGCTTTGACGTGTACTGTAACAGAAAGCAGCCAAAGTACTGGCCTGTCATCCCCTCAAGTTCTGAGTCCTGGGCACAGGTGCCCTAGGGAATGCCTCCTGAATGCCTCTCCCTCTTAATATTGGATGTGTTCTCTTCACCTCTGCTGGACATTTTTCAGAGAAAGAGGCCTGTATACCGACATGGTGGATACAATCTGTCAGCCACTTAGAATTCTGTCAGCAGGAGGCATACTGTTGCTAACACAAGAACTATCCACTTGACATAAAGTGATATTCGTCTGTGTATTGCACTGGCTCTTGATTTTCTCTGCGACAGTCTAGTTCATTGAAATTCTTGCCTAGAGATGATGCCTAGTGCTTTTGCTGTTTTAATTTCCTTCTTTAAACCTTCCTGCATGTCACAAAAGCCTTAAGGCAAAATGTCAATGTCTTTTTTTCTTCTTCTTCTTCTTCTTTTTTTTTTTTGAGACCAGTTCTTGGACAGCCCAAGCTAACCTCAAATGCTTATCCTCCTGCCCACTTCCAGCTCCCACAGGCTAGCTTACAGGTATGTACCCCACACTGGCCTCTGACCTACATATTCTCTCTGTAAAGCTCTGGATCCCTCAAAAATGGTCCAAGTGCACAGGAAGGCAAATGCCAGTTGTCACTCAGCTAGGTGTCACCCTGCCTGCTCTATAAAAGACCTGAGAATAAATACTTCAGGCTTAGCAGGCATGTGAGCCACCTCATGCTGTCTAACCCTGTCTTCATAGCATGAAAACCTCCATAGACAGTAAGTAAACAAATGGATGTGACTGTGTTCTGGTAAAACTTTACTAAAAAAAGAATTTACTTCTGTTGATCATGGACTTTTGAGGAACAGAATTTGTACCCTGGCTACACGTAACAGATAGTGGGTACAGCAAATATTCACCCAGTGGTCAAAAATGTCTATTCTATTTCATTGATTTAAAAAATAGATCTTGACATTTT